GTGGCAAGTACAAAAATGTTTCGTAACTTTACAAACGGCGCCCCATATCTAAATGCCTATATATGACTTATTTGTCATATATTGTTTAATGTTATTTACACAGAAAGGAAGGTTAGATAACTGTTTGATAAATAAAAGTAGCCTACTTTACTTTACTATTAGTGTTTGTATTTTGTGTAAAATATTACATTTGGCCCGCGGTCCTCCGATAGATTTTCATTTTGGCCCACTAAGGGAAAATGTTTGGGCACCCCTGCAATAGAGAAACTGTAAGAACCATTAATAGTATGTATGTGTCCTGTCATAGTCACAGTGTGTAATGGACACTGTGGGATTTTCAGTTCAATTATTAAACCCAGAGCTGCCTGACGTCTACAGAACATCTGCACTGTGGTGTCTGTGTGTTTGTGTTACACGATGATAATGGTGTAACATTGTGGCTGTGCAGCAGTGCGTCTCTCTTAATACTGATGTTATTTATCTTAAATTGTTGAATTGTCTTACCTGCAGAAGTTTTTCTTCGTTAGAACTTTATATAACATTCACAGGTTACTGATTCACACAGAGCATTTGTACACGAGTTTGTTTACTCACTTTGTCTAATTTCTCCATCTGCATTCAGGATGTTTTCTTCTCATTTCTGCCTCATTTTGGTTTCAGGTTCTTCTCCTTCTCTGCCAGAAGACGACAGACAAGATGAGATGATTATGCCAACTGGCTGCATCATCCATCCATCCTTTTAAGTTCCCGCTTGTCCTGTGCGGGATTGTCGGGGTCCAGAGTCTGTCCCGGAAGTTACAGGCACAAGGCAGGAAATAACCCAGAATGGGGCGCCGACCCATCGCAGAACCTGATTCACACACAACACAATATTCTTTAATAAGTTTGTAGTAGCTTTACAATCGCAGCAGTTATGAGACTCAAATTACAGAGAGCAGAACAAATTTAATCCATTTCAGAAAACTAATCACTGACTGACAGTCAGGAAGGATCATTAATGCAGGTTTTTTTCTCTCTCTGTAACTTTACTGTATTAGCAGTTAAAGCTCCGCTGTCTTATAGCTGCTCTGCTCTGTCACTGTGCAGCACTGTAGTCTGTTTTTATCATGATCCGTCTCTTTAAATGCCGCACAGCCTGCTGATGAGGACGCCTGTGTGACCCTGTGTGTGAGATGCACTGATCACTGACTTACAGTAACGAGCACCAAGGATAAAGCAACAGCAAACAGAAAGATGGGCAATGAAACGATGAATGTGACTGATAAATGTAGGAAACAGTGTAACAGAACATCAGGATACATGTGAGCTTTGGCTGGAGCTTCATTATTACAGGAAACCATTATTAATCACCTGATATAGCCTCTGATCTGGCTGAGTTACATAGTTACACACTGGTGAGGGTTAAGTAATCTACAACATGACTTTGTAGTGGTTTCCAATATGGAACATTGAACATGTTTAATAATGACATTACCATGCACATAAGATGGTTTGTGGTTCTTAAGGTTGGACATTAATGCCCAGAACTTTGCCGGTTCAAATCCTGTGTCCTGTGAAGTATCATATCACCCCTGGGCCTTGCAGTAAGGCCCTTATCCCCAAACACTGCCCCAGGGTGCTGGATAAATGGCTTTGCTTTCACCTGGATGTGTGTGTCTATTGGGGGGGGGGGCACTTTTGTTGGGTGCTGTGTGCCTCTGCTTTTAGAACTCTGTGCCTGTGATTGAAAGGTTGTCAGTTCCAATCCCACAGCTGACACAGTGATGCACTCGGGTTCTTCAGCAAGGCCCTTTACCCTCACGGCTCCAGGGACAGTCTGACCCTGCGCTCCGATCCTTCATTCTGCTTCACTTTGGGCAGACATGTTTGTAAATAAATAAATGTACATAGCAAATGACAGAATGTGGTTTAATTCTGTAATCATGATCAGATGCGTAAACTGTCATTTTGGACTAAAATGTCTACTGAATAAAAAGCTGCAAATAATTCTGGAATTTTGATAAACGGAAACTGAAATTTCCAAATATTCTGTCTGAACTGGGATAATAAAGATGATGAATGGAAACAAATGTATTTTTGAATTTTGTTGAAATGTGTAGCTAGATGAGCAGGAAATAATTTAATATTTAACCTTAATTTCTTTAAATCATTTTACTATCTGTCTCAGTCCAGGTATGAGTTTTGTTAATTATTTTTATGTATTTATGCGATTAGATAAATTTGTTCATCTAAACCACCCTTAGTGTGTGAGTGTGACTCTGCAATGAACCAGCATCCCATTCAGGGTGTCCTGTGCCCCAGTGCATCCTGGGATATTCAGCAGGATCCCAGTGACCCTGTACTAATAAGCAGATATGGATGGATGGAAAAATACTGACAAGTGTGACAATTCAGACTGAAAAGCATTCAGTTGTGCTTACAGTTTTTGCCTATTGCTTACACACTAAATCTGAATGCTTACACCAAAGCCTCAATACCTAAACTTCTTGTATCTTATCTTAAACACAATGTAACCATAGCTTAAACACATTTTCAACTTTGCACTTTGTTTACAATTCTGTAACACACTTATTGCAAAACACTAAACTCGTTTTCTTACATTAGACACTTTGTTCAA